CGATAACCTGAGTCAGGAGTTTCAGATCAACTTGGCCAACATGGTGAAACTTAGTCTCTCCTAAAAATACAAAAATTTACATGGTATGGTGGCGCGTGCCTGTAGTTCCAGCTACTCGGGAAGCTGAGGCACAAGAAATCACTTGAACTTAGAAGGTGGAGGTTGCAGTGAGCGGAGATCGCACTACTGACTATAACCTGGGTGACAGCGTGAGAGACTTAGTCTGAAATAAAAATAAAAATAAAAATGCATTTTTACTCAAATGATCATTTTTCCCATGTTTCCCCTGACAAATGTCATAGCCTTGATAATTTGGCTTTATTACAACAGCAACCAAAATTATAGAAGTGCTTAAGCCGCAAGAAAGCAGGGGCCAGGCCTGGGTTTTCTTCAAGTCTTCCCTCTAGGATAATGTATCAACCAATTAACATTTGTTGTTAGGTTTAGGGGTTTGAAGGAAGTGGGTATATCACCCACTCAGCCACATAAAGTGCCATTTTCATTGATTTAAGGTAGTGCAGGATTCTGCCTTTGGCCTTAGTGAGATAAACACCAGCTTTTGTGGGTTTTGTTAAGTCACTTTGTCTGTTCTAGATTTGACTGAGGCTGACTCGTGTGTCACAGTCCATAGACTGAGTGACTTACCAACAACAGAAATTTCTCACAATTCTGGAGCTGGGAAGTACAAGCTCAGGGCACCTTCACGTTTGGTATCTGCTGAGGGTCTGCTTTCCAGTCCACACACAGTGTGATGGTTAATACTGAGTGTCAACTCAACTGGATTGAAGGATACAAAGTATTGATCCTGGGTGTGTCTGTGAGGGTGTTGCCAAAGGAGATTAACATTCGAGTCAGTGGGCTGGGAAAGGCAGACCCACCCTCAATCTGGGTAGGCACAATCTAATCAGCTGCCAGTGCTGCTAGAATATAAGCAGGCAGAAAATGTGAAGAGAGAGGCTGGCCTAGCCTTCCAGCCTACATCCTTCTCCTGTGCCAGATGCTTCCTGTCCTCGAACATCAGACTCCAAGTTCTTCAGTTTTGGAACTCAAACTGGCTCTCCTTGCTCCTCAGCCTGCAGATGGCCTATTGTGTGACCTTGGGATTGTGTGAGGTAATACTTAATAAATTCCCATATATATATGTGTGTGTGTATGTGTGTGTGTGTGTGTACATATATATGTGTGTTTGTATATGTGTGCATATATGTGTATATATGTATGTATATATATATACATTATAATTATATATATATATATATTAGTTCTGTCCCTCTGGAGAACCCTGACTAATACACATGGCATCTTCCCGCTGTGTCCTTACATGATCAAAGAGGCAAGGCAGCTCTCTGGGGTCTCCTTTCTAAGGGTACTAATCCCATTCATGAGGAATCTGCTCTCATGACCTAACCATCTCCCAAAGACTCCCATGCTGATGCACAAAGCCACTGCTCATTTATTAACTTCCAGTGAGAAAGGAACTGTTGGGTAGGTCAGATAATATGCCAGCTTGAACCGGCTCTTCTTCCCCACAGGCAAGCAAGGGAAGCCAGTTTAAAGGGTGGTTATCTGGTCATGGCATCAGAGCAACGGATGGGAGTTATATGAATCAGGGGCTTGGTCCCAGAAGATTTTGGTAGCCACTGGACCATGTCTACAATAGTCATTCCTGTCCTGCATGCTGGCTGGGCACCCCTTTCCCTGAATAATGTTTGAACGGCACCAGCAACATTTGCTTCACGGACTGTCCCTCTTCTAATTTCCCTGGCCGACTAACACCCTCTTCATGATGGTTTCTTTCTTTAGATGCTTTAGTACATTCAATCAAGTTACCAGCAGTTGGGCCACCTGGGAGCCACTCTGTCTCTTTAAGATGACTTTGCCTATCTCTGCTCTGAGCCCTTTCAGGTTCAGAGGATCATTTATTTTCTTTTTTTCTGAATATGGCAGGTGAGTAGCACAGCTCATGGTTGCCTTCACTTAAAACCTATATGTAACAACAAAGGAAAGTAGAGAAAAGCCCTTGAGGATTGTGTATTCTCAGAAGGTGTGTTACTCTAGGTAGGAGAGCCTTCAAAGTTAGACGGATAGACATTAACCTTGTAGAGAGGAGACAGAAGTCATGCCAGATGGTGGGTGGTAGTGGAGGATGGGAGATGGGGGTTTTGGGTGGTGGTGGAGATACTATCTGGGCAAAGATAAGGAGAGAGGCATGTCTACTTTCTCTGATAGTTTGTAGGGCTGGGACCCTTTTTCTCAAACATATCGCCAGCACCTAGTAGTGTCTGACACATAATAGATGCTCAATAAACATGAGAAAAGAGCAGAGATTAAAGAAAGCAATTTATTTAGAGTAAAAGATTAATCCTAGAATTTTTTGTTGGGAAATCCTGAATCAATGGAAAGTATAATAAAGCTAGCATCAGAAGATCTGAGTTGTATGAGACTGTGTGTGACTTGGAGCCTGGCTAACTTCTTTGAGCTCAGTTTCCTCACATGTAAAACAAGGAGGATAACACTTATTGTATTCATTTCACAGGATTACTGTGAAAAGCAAGTATAATAGTGAGTGGGAAAGCTGCCTTGTGAAAGAACTGTACTCACAAAAGGTAGTTGCAGTAAGGAAAAATAACCAAGCTCCTCTTATGGTCCAAGGAAAAGCCACTATGGAGGAGAGCATGGGTCTGTCTCTGTTGCCTTCCTCATCTGTTATGCAAGATCATTGGGGAAGCCTGTCGATGGGACTGCCAGGGTCTGGAGAAGGAAGACGGATGGTCACCAAAGGTTGGCAAACTCACCAAAATTAGGAGAGCAAGCAGAGCCACAAGGGAAATGAAAAGCTCAGTACAATAAAATAAAAAGGAGATTTCAAATAGAGCAATGAAAGGAAGGTATTAAAAGCAAGCCAGGAATGTTAGAACCACAAAGAGGAGACCAAAAAGAGGGTCCTAAATGTAAGCATCTGCCCAGAAAAGAGTGGCTGCCCATGGCTACTTAAAAACAAACAGGTTTATCAAAGCATCATTCACACATAATGCAACCATTTGAAGTGTACAATTCAATTCAATGGCTTTTATTATAGTAACAGTTATGCGTCCATCACCATGACCCATTTTAGAATATTTCATTAGGCCAAGGAGACAACCCACACGCCTAGCCACCATTCCCCAATCTCCCCACCCCACTGGCAACCCTAGGCATCCATTAGCCTACTTTCTATGTCTACAGATTTGCCAATCTTGGATATTTTATGTAAATGGAATCATACAATATATGGCCTTTTGCATCTGTTTTCTTTCACTTAACATAGCGTTTTTAAGTTTTGTCCAATGTTGCAGCATGTATCACTACTTCTTTTTATTAGTTAATAATATTCCATTTCATGGATATACCACATTTTGTTTATCCACTCATCAGTTGGTGGACAGAATTTTACACCCAGCTGAATTACCACTAAGAGTGAGGACACAATTAATTCTTTTATTTACCACATGCTGGTATTTTCAATCCTGTTAAGATATGCCTAAGTCTTATACTGAAGAGAGACTGAAATTGTAATTGCTTGTTAGCCACATGTTTCATTCATTTCACATTTGAATATGAAAAAACAGGCCATGTTATTCACTTAAAAAAAGAGCAATGCCTCTGCTTCCTCTAAGGGACAATGTGCCACAGGGCAAGTACTCACTTGGGAAGTACAACGAACTACTTAAGAGTAGAATGCTGTTTTCATTGATAGCCATTGAAAAAAAACTAAACGTCTGCCTGACTCTGCTTAAAAGAAAACTGTGGACCACTAGAAATTCCACGTAGTCAGAGACCCTTCCTTTCATTTACATGCCATTAACAGAGCAGTGATATGAACTATTCTTCCAGTTGTAAGACTTGCAATGAGTCCTCATCTGGTGCCCTTGACTTTGAGTGTGACCTGAGCCACCAAAGCCAGGGCTTCTCTGGGACAGGTCTGGACCTTCCATTGCATAAGACTCATAGATTCATCCTGGCATTTAACCTCTGACCGTTTCCTCACTAGTAGCATGCTAGCCCAGACTCCAGGGAATAACTGTGGTTATGCCAGAGGGTTCCAGAGGTGGGAGCCCCAGTCAATGGTAGATGCCCCAGTCAATGAGATGAAGGAGATGGTATGTGGTCTGCTCAAGAGGAGGACCACAGTCAGCGAAACTGCTTCAGCCTTCCCCGAATGTAAAAGGAACCTAGAAGCAAGTGAGTAAACCTATGAAGGTATCTCTTTTGTAGCTGATGCTCACCTTTGGTTGAAAACTAGTCACACTTGTTCATTTCTGACGTTCAGCCTGGGATCCTCAGTTCTGTAAGATTTTCTCGGCCTGCGATCTGGGCCCAGCAGCCATGCGGGAGCCATGGAGGCCTCGGAGGTGGCGATGGGCTGGCAGCAGGTACCTGGGCCGTCCCGGCGGCCACAAGAGGAGCCGCCGCAGCCGCCTCGGGCCCGTGGGTGCCCCTGGAACCCCGACTGAGGGGCAGCCGGCCACGACCCTCAGGGGCGACGCAGCAGCCCGCGGCCTCCGCGCTACTAGTGCGGGAGCTGATCAGCCATTGGAGAGCTAACTGCCCAGGCGTGCGGACCTGCATCTCATGCACCGACCAGTATCCTGTGCGCGGACCAGCAACCTGTGCGCGGCCAGCATCCTGTGCGCGGACCAGCATCCTGTGCGCGGCCAGCATCCTGTGCGCGGACCAGCATCCTGTGCGCGGACCAGCATCCTGTGCGCGGACCAGCATCCTGTGCGCGGACCAGCATCCTGTGAGCTGTGCGCGGGAGAGGCAAGACCCTGCCCGACAGCCCCGCGCTTAGCAGGCACCTGGCCAAGAGCCACCGCCTGCGGGATGGCATAGTCAATCCAATAATAAGAAAAGATTTGAAAACTGTACCGAAATTCTACTGCTCTACTGCTGTCCAATCTAAGGCTGCCCCAAAGGCCCTGACAGACCATTTTTTCAATTTTCTCTGTAAACAGCACTTTATGAAAATGCATGCTGAGAAGAAGCACAAATATAGTAAGTGCAGCAATTCATATGGCACAGAATGGGACTTGAAAAGACACGCAGAGGACTGTGGCAAGATCTTCCAGTGCACATGTGGCTGTCCCTATGCCAGTAGAACAGCACTGCAGTCTCACATCTACCGAATTGGCCACGAGATCTCTGTAGAACACAGGGATCCACCTAGTTAAAAAAAAAAAGGAAAATGGAAAACTACTTGTAAAACCAGAAGGTATTCAATAAGACCATTGAATCACTGAACAACCAGCCAATCCCTAGATTAGACACTCAAGAACTAGAACCTTCAGAAATAAAGCTAGAACCATCTTTTGAAGACTCTTGAGGCTCTAACGCTGAAAAGCAAACCTCTTACAACACTGCCAAGATATCCTCAGAAGTGGCTTTGGTTAAACTACCAGTGATGCAGTTTTCTCTCATGTCTGTCTTTGTGCCTACAGCCGACTCCTTAGCCCAGTTCTTGGTGGTAAGTGTCCATCAGGGCTCTGCCACACGGGCGGTGCACTTTCTGCCCTTGTTGGTAGGGACTCTGACCCTTGGCCTAGATTCAGAGGCTTGCTCTCTAAAGGAGAGTATACCTCTTTTCAAAACGGCTAATCCTGTTGCTGTTGAGCCCATAAGTACAGGTGTTCAAGTGAACTTGTATAAAAATCCATCTGCTCATTTACAAGAACTAGGGAACACATGTCAAAAGAACAGCATTTCTTCCATCAGTGTGCAGGCAGGTCTGTCTTATGCCTCACAAAACAACTTTATACCTTCTGCACAGTGGGCCAGCACTGATTCCTCTGTGTCATCTTGTTCTCAAACTGATTTGTCATTTGATTCTCAAGAGTCTCTTCCCATTAGTGTTGACACTCAGACAATTTTTGCCCAGCTCTAAGGTAACTTCATGAATAGCTGCTCAGACTGATGCAGTTATTGACACCTGTTTCCAGTCAGGTGGAGTCTCCAGAGAAACTCAAACCAGTGGGATACAAAGTCCAACAGAAGACTACGTACAGATGGACCAAGCTGCAATGTGTGGAGACATTTTTGAGAGTGCTCATTCATCATATAATGTTGTTACAGGTAACATTATAAATAACAGTTTAGTAGCAGAGATAGTAACTCATAGTTTTTTACCTCAGAATGACCCTAAGACTTTAAATCAAGATATTTAGAAATCTGCACCAATTATGAACTTCAGTGCACAGAATAGTATGCTTCCTTCACAGAACATGACAGATAATCAGACCCAAACCATGGATTTATTAAGTGATTTGGAAAACATCTTGTCAAGTAATCTTGTCAAGCTCAGACATTGGATCATCTTTTGTCTGACACAAATCCTGGACCTGACACCCAGCTCCCATCTGGCCCAGCCCAGAATCCTGGAATCAATTTTGATATCAAAGAGCTCTTTTCACTCTCGAATATCCAGACTCAAACTGAAGAGAGTGGACTTAGCACCATGAACACTGAGCCAGTCTTGGAGTCACTGGCCATAGAGACTCAAACAGACTTCCTACTTGCAGATACCTCTGCTCAGTCCTACGGGTGTAGGGGAAATTCTAACTTCTTAGGCCTTGAGATGTTTGACGCACAGACACAGACAGACTTAAACTTTTTCTTAGACAGTAGCCCTCATCTGCCTCTGGGAAGTATTCTGAAACACTCCAGCTTTTTCATGAGTACTGATTCATCTGACACAGAGACTCAAACTGAAGGGATCTCCAGTGCTAAAAATATACCTGCTCTAGAAAGCAAAGTTCAGTTGAACAGTACAGAAACACACACCAGGAGTTCTGCGTTTGAAACCCTGGGGAACTTGTTCTTCACCAGCAATGAAACTCGAACAGCGATGGATGACTTTATTCTGGCTGATCTGGCCTGGAACACGATGGAGTCTCAGTTCACCTCTGTAGAAACCCAGACCTCTGCTGAACCACACACAGCCTCCAACTTCTAAAACCCAAAGTGGAGTCCATGTGTGAGACGACATCTACCATTTCCTCTGGATTAAACTACAGAATGGGGACAACAGTATTCTACTGAATGTAGTCGATGATTCAGCTGCTTAGCCTCTTTGCGGTTCTTTGACTTTTGTACTTGTAAACATGAAATTTGTGTATAAATGTGAGTCTATTATAAAGTGTGAGATGTTGATCTAAAAAAAAAAAAGATTTTCTCTTTCATGTGGGGTGTGGTGGTTAATGCCTATAATCCCAGCACTTTGGGAGGCCAAGGTGGGAGGATCACTCAAGGCCAGGAGTTCAAGAACAGCCTAGGTAATACAGTGAGACCACCTCTGCATAAGAAATAAAAAATTAGCCAGGCATGGTGGTGTACAGCTACTCCAGAGGCTGAAGTGGGAGGATGGCTTTAGCTTAGTAGTTCAAGACTGCCATGAGCTACGATCACACCACTGCACTCCAGCCTGGAGGCAGAGCAAGACCCTGTCTCTAAAATACAAAAATTTAAAAATATTCTCCCTTTCAGAAGGCAGAGAAAATAGGACCTCTATACATATTTTCTTGTCTGAATTGTGTGCTTTTTGTAGTTTGTAGTTTTCTGAGTTTATAAGTAGCCCCTTGCATGATAATTTGAAGGAGAAGAAAGCAAAGCAAAAAGTATGAAGAAGAAAATAACAGTAACTTTCCACTTGGATTTACTCACAGCATCTGTTCTGGTTTCTCATTTTGGAAGTCCCTGTTTTACGTATTGGGATTTCCTGGACTTGCACATCATGGCTTCTCTCTTCTCTGTGTCATGTTTGCCTCTATTCAACTCTGGGAAAATGTCTGGTTTTTCTTGCCCTAATTTAGCATCAGCTGTGTCTCCAGTGACTGTCTCCACTGCATTGCCAGCCATGGCATTGTGTCTTTCATGTGTACCTTAGTTAGCTCAGGCTGCTATGACAGGATACCATTGACTGAATAGCTTGTAAATAACAGAAATTTTATTTCTCACAGTTCTGGAGACCAGTAGAGATCAGGGTGCCAGCGGGGTCAGCTTCTGATGAGGGCCCTCTTCTGGGTTACAGACTACCATCTTCTCACTATTTCCTCACATGGGGGAAAGAAGATGAGAGATCTCTCTGAGGTCCTTTATATATGGACACTATTCCCATTCGTGTAAGTGCCAATCTCATGTCACCTCCCAAAGGCCCCACCTCCTGCTACTATCACATTGAGGGGGTTAGGATTTCAGCATAGGGATTTTTGGGGGACACATTCAATCCACTGCAACATGTAAACAATTTTCCTGCCCCAATCATTCCCCTTTTCCTGTCTGCCTGCTCCTGTGTCTCAGATGCAACGTGCCCTTGACTCTCTAGAGAATATAAATTAGAGCTGGCTTAAGGCTTCCTAATGGGCTTGAAGTAATATTTTCAGAGGGGAACATTTTTGTTCTGATTTTTCAGGTTAGGCCCCTCTTGTATCTTTAAAAATATCTATTAATATGTCCAGTGGTTTTTCTCCATATTAAAGATCAGTCTCTCTGTGTCTAGTTTTGGAAGGTAAGATAGATTCTAGCAACAGTTGTAAGGATTCCCGATCAAATCCCACAGGTTTATTAACATAAATTGTTTCAGATTTTCTCAGATCCTGCTTTTCTGGATTAGAGTTCTTGTTGCAAGAGGGAAGTTAGGGCCTGGTGGCTGGAGGAAGCTTTGCGGATGTTCCTTTTCTGAGTTTGCTGTGTAGCCCAAGGTTCATGGGGCATCCTATGCTTCCTCAGCCATGACTGCCCTGGTTAGGAACCTGCTTCTTATTTGGAGATGATGTCTGCTCCTGCTGGGAGCTGGGAGTGAGTGTCACCGAGGGCTTCTCCCTGTGCCAGGCTCTGACACTGGTGGGACTGAGATTTAACACCTTGCCTTGAGTCCTCCCATCACCCACTCTGACTTCCTCACAGCGCTCATCCCTCCACCTTCTCCTGCTCTAAGATAAGAGCGCTTGTGGGGTGGGGCCTGCTTGGGCTACTTTCCTCTAATTCTTATGGATTTAAATTGGTTATATGATTTATTCATTGCCTTTAAGAGTAAAGGAATATTATAAAATATTTGTTTTCTATTTTAAAATTTTTTATTATAAATTTATGGTGTGTGTGTGCAGGTTTGTTACACGAGTGTATTGAATAATGCTGGGTTTTGAGCTTCCATTGAACCCATCACTCAAATAGTGAACATAGTACCGAATAGGGAGTTTCTCAACCCTTTCTCCTTCCCTTCCTTCCTCCCTCTCTCCCCTTTTGGAGTTCCCAGTGTCCATTGTTCCCATCTTTATGTCCAAGTGTACCCACTGTTTAGCTCCCACTTATAACTGAGAACATATGGTATTTGATTTTCTGTTTCTGTATTAATTCAGGATAATGGTCTCCAGCTGCATCCATATTGCTACAAAGGACATGATTTCATTCTTTCTTATGATTGCATAGTATTCCAGAGTATGTATATATATATATATGGCACATTTTCTTTATCTTCTCTCCTTCTTTTCTTCCTTCCTTTCTTTCTTCCTGCTTTCCTTCCTTCCTTTCTTTCTTTCTTTCTTTTTTTCTTTCTTTCTCTCTTTCCTTCTTTCTCTTGGCAGAGTCCCTCCCACTGTCACCCAGGCTAGTGTGATCATAGGTCACTATAGCCTTGATATCCTGGGCTCAGATCATCCTCCCCTCGCAGCCTGCCAAGTAGCTGGAACTACAGGCATACAACACCATGCACAGCTAATTTTTATTTTTATTTTTGTACAGATAAGGGGTCTCACTATGTTGCCCAGGATGGTCCTGAACTCCGGGCCTCAAGCCATTCTCCTGCCTCAGACATTTTCTTTATCCAAGCTACCATTGATGGATACTTAGGTTGATTCCCTGACTGCCAAGTGCAGATGTCCTATTGATAAGACGATTTACTTTCCTTTTCCGTGGGTAGATACCCAGTGGCGGGATTGCTGGATCATGTGATAGTTCTATTTTTAGTTCTTTGAGAAATCTCCATACTGTTTTCCACAGGGGCTAAACTAACTTACATTTCCACCAACAGTGTTTCCTTTTCACCACATTCTCACCACCAGCTGTTATTTTTTGACTTTTTCATAGTAGCCGTTCTGACTGATGTGAGATTCTATCTTAATGTGGTTTTTAAATTTGGTATTCTTCTGATGTTAATGGAGCATTTTTTTCATGCTTCTTGGCCACTTGCATGTCTTCTCTTCAGAAGGGTCTGTTCTTGTCCTTTGCCTACTTTTTAGTGGGTTGCTTTTTCCTTGTTGATTTGTTTAAGTTCCTTATAGGTTCTGGATATTAGTCCTTTGTTGAATGCATAGTTTGCAAAGAAATATTTGTTTTTAAAAAGAGGGAAAATTAACTGTCTTGATAGTTGTTGTGCTGAACACCTATTAGCCTTAATAGAGAAGACACCAGGTTCTAGAGGCCAAAAAGAGACCCAGAAACAAGACACAGGGTTTTCTTAATACTAAGGGCTGACATACAGAACAGAGGCCAGTGGCAGCAAGTTAGACAAGCTATCTACCTTCCTATAGTCCAGGGGCCATGGGCTGGACAAAATATCCTCATGAACCTCTCCCTGGTAACTTCATTTATTTGGAAACTCGAGCCTCAATCCCCTGTACAGCCCATGTTGGATGTGCCAGGAACTCACATGTTCCTCATAGACAAGGAGCAAGTCTCTGAGTTGACCTCTCCCAGATTCCCTAGCACAGTGCACACATTCAGGTGCATCTACCACACAGGGTCATTCTAAGGGTACGTTTCAATTATTGCTGTTGGGTGTATTTATCCTACAATAAGGCTAGGTCTGAAGCAACTATGAAAATCCTGTCCTCCACTGTCCTGTACTTCCTGACCTGGGTGGCCATGCAGTGAGATCTGAGCAAGGTAGAGGGGTCCGAGAAAGCCTTGTTTTCTCTTGATAAAGGATGCCACATGTAGCTTACCTGCCTTTTCCCCTCTTGTCACCTGGACTGCTGATATATGGCTGGCACTGCAGCTTGTGACCATGGTGGGAGGAGCCCAAGGATGAGGGCAGCACTGCAAGATTGCAGACGGAAAGAGAAAGTACCTGGGTGCCCATGTGACATCTTGGAACTGCTGAACTAAGACGAAGAACCACCTACTTCTGGCTATTTGATTATGTCCAAGGGAAATTGTTAAAGTCATTGTAAATTGGGTTTTCTGCTATGAGCTTCAGAACACATATCTGGTAATTTACTAATCCTTTGTCTACACTGAATCACCTGCAGTTGACATCCCAAAGATTTCACAGCATCCTAAATCAGTAGTGATGTGAGGATCACTACTCTAGAAAACTCTGGAAATAATTCCTCCAATGTGCACTACTCAGCTGGGTGGAACCACCCATATTCTCTCCAGAACACTCTGTTTTGAATGCTTATTCAACTTTATGAATACATCATGATCTGTTGATCAATTCACTTTGACACCTCTTTAGGTGCCTTCTTAGGAAGAGAGTTGGACAGTACTTATGTGGCACAGAACTCTAAATTGCTAAGCCCAAAATTTTCTGTAGAACACCATGTCACCAGTGTTCTTTTATCAGGCAGCACCAGTGACACAGAGGAAATGAAAGCAAATCTATTAGCTATATTACTATGACCAGTTCAAGCTAATTATTTAAGTGAAGTGGTTTTGCCTTAATTATGGAACATTTTTCAATTAAATTGCATTTGACTACCCATAACTTTTGTTCAAGGAGCACTTCATATTCAGACATCTCCAATCACAGCACAAAGCGCTTCAACAAATACTTAATCCAGTTAAATGGAAATGAAAATCATAATGCATGACATTTCTCCTGCTAAGGGAAATCTCTGGCCATTTTGTCTGTGTGAGATGAGGGTTTACAAATAAAGAGCAGCTTCATTATCCACTTAGAGTATTTCTAGGAGTATGGAAATGGAACCTAAATTATATTTGTTCTTCAAAACCCCC